CAATGTTTCTTTTTGAAATGTAATGTGTATGTATGTATGTATGTATGTATGTATGTATGTATGTATGTATGTACGTACATACATACATACATACATGCATACACACATATACTTAACTTGGAAGAACAGGATACTCTCACTCATTCTTGAATTAAAAATAGTAATACTGATTTTATGCACCTCCATTATATAGACAACAAATAAAATCTACCCTTTGCAAGAAATTATAGAAAAGTTACTTGAAGGCCAAGTGGACAAAGAAAGACAAGCTATTATCAAAGTCTTGAATTGCAATATGACCTATCTATTTATTTAGTTACCATGCTAAAATGTTTAAAACACTACTCATAGTGGTTAACCACATAATAAAACACAAATACAATAACATTTACATGGTAAACCAAAATCTCAATTTAACACATCCAGGATGAGGCAATAGTAAATACTAAAACCATACATAAACCTAGAACATTACCACAGTTACATCATACAACAAAGGATAAAACTCAATTTGCTTCAGAAAACTCACTCTAATGCCATGATGGTGAACCTACAGCACACATGCTGCAAGTGGCATGCAGAGTCTTCTATCCAGGCACGCAAGCCATCGCTCCTTGCTCTTCCACGTTCCGGCTCACTGACAGCTGGTCTTCATGAGCACATGAGTAAGCAGAAACTGGAAGAGCAGCCATCCTTACTAAAACTATCACATCTATTTGATAATTTATAACCGTGATGCATGGTGAACCTATGGCACATGTGCCAGAGGTGGCACACAGAGCCTTCTCTGTGGGCACATGTGCCAGCCAACTGGTCTTCGGGTTTCTAGCATGCTGTCACGCATGAAGACCAGCTGGCCATGCCAGAAACCTGAAGACCAGCTGGCGGGCACGCACATGCGCACTGGCCAGCTGGTCTTCGGGTTGCCGGTGCTCCAGCATATATATGTTGGTCTTGTTGTATTCGGGCCTTTTCCCATGTAAGATTGAGATTGTCTTGGCAACGTTTCGGCGAGGTCTCACTTGCCATCTTCAGGCTGGGTTTTGGGCTTAAAGCGTGGTCGGAGCTGCTGTCTTTCTATAAATCTTGGTGGGGGTGTGTCGAGTGCTAGCTTTGTTTCAGTAAGTGGAATGATTGGTTCCAATATGTATAAGTGACAAGAAAAAAACGCAGAATCTGGTATAAACGCTATACTGTCAGGTGCAAGGAACCAAAAATGACACAAGGAGCTGATCAGCATGGTATGTTTATTTATAGTCTCTAGAAACCCCTCCCCTTAACTCAGCTCCAGTTTCCACCACAAAAACACAATGATTAAAGGTGGCATTTAAAAAGAATGAATTTGGATAAATAGCAATATCTTTTTTTCTGTTTATTATGATGCAAGTATTTTTTTTTCCATTTGAGCTTGCTGTGAGTAAAATCAAATTAAAACTCCACTTGGGGAATTAAATGCAGCTTCAATAGATTTGATTCCTTTTTTTCTTTTAATTTCCTCAATTATTTTAGTAGGGTTTTTCATACACACACACACACACACACACACACACACACACCCTGCATGGAATACACACTGATATAGTTGAGATATTTTTTGTCTGATAAAACAAAAGTCAACCATTTTTAAATCTCTATATTACACCGAGAGTTTGTTCTAGCCAAATCAGTGAGCAATGCCTAGGAATAGTTGCCAGCGCCTCCATGATAGAGGTGGTATTCTGCAAGTTCTGACCAGTTTTGGAGAATGGGTAGTGGGAATTTTGAGTAGTTTGGAGAACCGGTAAATACCACCTCTGACTGGCCCCGCCCCATCTATTCTCTGCCTCCCAAGTCCCAGCTGATTGGGAAGAAATGGGGATTTTGCAGTAACCTTCCCCTGGAGTGGGTTGGAAATGGAGATTTTACATTATCCTTCCCCAAGAGTGGGGAGGCAATAGAAAATTTACAGTATCTTCCCCTGTCATGCCCACCCAAGCCATGTCACACCCACCAAGCCACGTCCGCAGAACCAGTAGTAAAAAAAATTGAATCCCACCACTGCTCCATGACATTTAGATACTTTGTCCCATCAAACCAATTATGTTCTATTTTTCAGAACAAATTATGTATTCACAAATAGAAATTAAAACTTTCATTAGTAAGTTCTCTGTAGTCTCTTAACCATTTATATTTTACACAAACAATAGAACTAGTCACAGATGTATGGGAAATAATATTATTCATGGCTAATGGCCAAAATGGAGAAGACTTAAATCCTCAGATTTGATGTATTGCTCCAGCCAAAATTGTTGGAAGGTCAAAAAGTACAAGTATTTCCAGTGAATGAACTCTTGCATGAGAACATGTTCACAGTACAAACCATTGATGGGAACTGTACGCTGTACGTTCATTAACTTGAAAGCCTCCTTTTTTAATTGATGAACCCAATTTAGGGAGATCAACCCTAAATGTAAACAGACATAGGCGGGCATTTGATATTTTACCAATCCCTGTCTGTTTCACTGTTCAGCTGAGACAGCTGCAGAGTCTAAAAATTAATGGGTACATTTACATTAGGAAAACAACACTGTCCCAACATCCTGACGGCTGGCAGGAAAAGTCAGCTTAGCAAAAGTTCAGAGTAATGCCAGGCTAACCAAATGATGCTATTCAGCAACTATGCTTCCCACAGAAACAAAGTCCACAATAATGTCAGCAACTACTAAAAATATTACAGCTATCAACCTACACCCCATAAGTTTTCATCTGTCACCCTGCAGACAAATTAACTCAGCAAACATGAATAACAAGATGTTACACTAGATTGCTGTTTTGTTTTGTTTTTTAAAAGCTGGAGTCTACTCAAAGCAATTGGCTCAAAAATAAAAGTCCAAATTTGTAATTATGTAGTTAAGATTGATGGAAAAAACAACAAGCTAATTCTTGTTATTATAGATGTATAGCTTCAGTGTATAAATTCCAGTGTACCAAATTCCATAAAAAAGTTCTTGCAATTTTCCCATATAGTCAGTAAATTAATGGTAATCACTCTTAAAACCTATTTATTTCAACCACTGAATTGAAGTATACATTTAAGTGTCTTCTTGACAGATAACTATGTTTAAGCTTTAATTGGGTGACATCTTATACTAGCTATTAAACAAAAGGAAAGGGGAAAAAAACTGTAACAATAGAAATCAGTTGGATTGATAATGGGTAAGGCACACTTTGGAGACACCATCGTAGAAACCTTTTTCCCTTCCACCTTGTTTATTTATTTATATTTATTTATCATTAAACATATATTGCCGCCTATTCGCCCATGGCCTATGTTTAAATCAACATAAGCCAGCACACATAAACAAATACAGATTGCAGAACTGATCCTTCAGTTAAAAAAAAAACTCCAATCCCTTGTCACAATATTAAACGGCACCTTTAATTTCTGCTGATCTACTTTAATACTACAGGTATAAAGTAATATTGCCATTGCCTTAAGAAATGTATATGGGAGCATGCATAGCCGCTGATCCATATTCTTTCCATTCACATTTAAGCTTTAACATATAACACATTGCATTGTGCCAACAATAGTGATACTTTAATCTGCCTATTGAAGTTTCTGAGTTTAGGGAATCCTAAGTATAGAAATCCTTTTATAATAAACGAAATTCAATTCATTCAAGACTCCCAAGTATCTGCTTAAAACAAAGATATTATATTCATGTTTTTCTCTTTGATAAAATTGTGGCGTTTGATTTTATCAGGCAAGAAACTGATGCTGTTAAGATTTGGCATTATACACACAGCCACAGATTAATATAACATTTGCAAATAAACATAAGTAAAAGTTAACATCATTGATATTAGGCAAAGAATACCAATTATTTTCTGAGGTTGATTATTTTCTGAGAGACAATAACAAAGAAAATGTGAAGTATACATTGAATGGCACAACTTTCCTTTTAGTCCATTAATTATTCCTAGGCAACCTTCATAAAAACTCTATAACCAGTAACAAAACTACAGAAACTAACACTGGCATAACAGATCTAGTGTAAAATCCTTTATTTTTGCAAATTGAAAACTAGAGAAAAAGATGGGGAAGTGGGAAAGAATGGGTTAAAAAAGAGATGCAAAACTTTTCATTTAGCTGTAGATACCAAGGTAAAGATGTTCAAAAGTTCTGATCATATTTTTTTCTATGTTTCCCATAACATATTAGCATTCCAGAAAGTCATTGTGGTCTCTTGAGTACAATTGCATGTTTTTTTACAACCTCACCTTATTCAGCATTCCATTGTGGTCCAGGAGTCTCAAGGCAATACCTGCATTAAAAAAATAATCAACATTAATTTGGGTCCCATTTTACTTACAAGGACTAATGTCAGCTCATAACACAGGCACTGAAGGTGCTTGAGCTAAATCTAATTGCCAGAAAGGTTCATCAGCAAGCAGATACAAACAGCAATTAATGTTACTGGTTCAATAATTTGTAATACTTAGTAATCTCTTATTACTTTCGCTATTGCTCATATCAAAGAGGACTGATAAATGGATCAGCACAATTTTTAAAGAGGAAAAAACAGAGATGAAAGAAATGAGAAACATTTCATAGTCCAAGAAACTTTTAAAGTTTAAAATGCAAGATCTATTAACTTTTTTGAATAAAATGTGTGGACGTGGAAGATAAATGTTAAGTGTTTATAAAGACAGACCTCGACTTTATGATCACAGTTGAGCCCAAAATTTATGTTGCTAAGCGAGACATATGTTAAAGTGAATTTTGTCCCATTTTATGACCTTTCTCGCAAAGTTATTAAGTGAATCACTGCAATTGTTACATTAGTAACCTGGCTGTTAAGTGAATCTGGCTTCCCCACTGACTTTGCTTGTCAGAAGGTCACAAAAAAGGACCACATGACCCAGTGGTGGGTTCTGGATCCCATTCCAATCGGTACGGTTGGAATGGGCCTGGTGGCATCCACATGGATGCACGCAGTGCGCACATGCTATGAGCGGCTCCACAAGCCTCTGTGTCGCTCCAGCTGCTCAGCGGAGCGTCATGCAGCTGCTCTACACACTGTGCAAGTATACAGAAGCACCAAAGACTTAAAAGACCGGTAAGAAGCTTGGGCAGGCGGGTAGGCCCTCCGGAGCACCGTATCTAGTGCTCCAGGAGCAGCATCCTCATGTAGCAAAAGAAGAATTGGGTTACCCCATGGTAGCCAAAAAACAAGAAGCTAGCAGCACTTTTTCAACTAAAAATGCATATTAAAAGGCATAAGCTTCTACAATTACAGCTCACTTCATCAGAAGCATCAAAAGCAGGGATGGGATTCAGCTGATTCGTACTGGTTTGGGTGAACCAGATATTAATTTTAATTTGGTTCGCCGAACTGGTAGTTACAGGGATCGGCTGACCCTGCCCACCCCACCCCGCCTCTCCCAAGAGTCTCCACGCATCCCATTTTGAATGCCAGGTAAGTGCAGGTTCCACACGAAGGCTCTGGGAGGGCAAAAAATGGGCCTACAGGAAGTACCGGAAGTCCGGAAATGAGCCCATTTCCGGCCTCCAGAGCCTGGGGAGGGTGAAAAATGAGCCTACCGGAAGTACCGGAAGTCTGGAAACAGCTCCATTTCCGGCCTCCAGAGGGCCTCCAGAGCCTGGGGCAGGTCGTTTTTGCCCTCCCAGAGGCTCAAGGTTTTGAAGTCTGGAAGGAGGGACGCGACCACAGGGTGAACGACAACTTCTTTATTTAAACAGGTAACTTATGACAGCAATTCAAAGTGGCGCGGTGCGCGCCAAGGTATTTATACTAACTGTTCAACCAATAGGA